CGTCGGATTTCGATGTGTGAGACTGTCGCAACCTGAACTTTAAATGGGATCCTGCATGATCCGAATAGGGTTTGGGGGTGGTGCATTAGAGTCTAGAATCTAGAAGTTGTATTGACCTCTGCATGCAAGTTTGTCGCCACTTCGGCTTTCGGCCGTTGCTGGGTTTGGCTTGAAAGTGTCAGGGTTTAGGGTTAAAGGATGAAAAAGCCCACAACGTTTTTGGGTTTAGTTTTTAACATTTTGAAATCTTTGGGTTCTGTGTGCTCTTCGCGCGTGCATTTGATTTCATAATGCTCAGACTGGATCTGCCACTGGCGACGGTGAAGACCAAAATCGAGCATCAACGGCGCTGAACCCTAGGTTTAAGGCTTCGGGTTTAGGTCCTAAGTGTTAGATGGTTGTAGGGGCTCAGATTTAAAGGCTCCAGTTTTGGGCATGTTGCTTATAAACGTAACATCATTATCAGTTTCAATTAACCATGAACCTCCAAGTAACGCCCAAAGGCCCTCAGGCCACGAGGGGCCTCCTGTACCAAGACCCCCAGAAGGCCGCCGTAGGGATGACGAAGAGAATCGCAAACTGGGCCGGGTCTAGGATGGGAAAGGCCCTCATAAGGGCTAGGATTAAGGCTAACGGTTTCGGGTTTAGGATTCACGTGGGTAGTTTTCTAAATTAACTTGTCGTACTATTTTGGAGGCCTCCAAAGGGACCCCAATTTGGAGAACAACCCACATAAAGGCCGTCATAATAGGATTTAAAAGGATTGTTCTACATTTTGCGGGAAGTTTAGGAAATCAGGAGTTCAGGGATTGAGGTTTACGGTTTACAGGTTCAAGGTCCAGGAACTTAAGCCCAATAGTCCAAAATACAGCCAAACATGCTAGTTTAGGGATTACGGGATAAAGCCGCCAGTGGGATCAGGAATTCGCAACAAAAACCCTATCCCTGACGATCTTCCGGCTTCCAACATCGAGAGCTTAGGACAGACCCGAAGCCCTCAAACTAAAAAAGCCCTTAACCCTAATCACTCAGGGCTTAAAGGCCCAAGCTTCACAAAGCCAAACCCTACTTTTGCCTTTGGTTGGTCGGGAATGTAAGAATGGTAGCAATAGTAGCTGTAATTGTACCCCATTCCTCCATTCCCTACTAACCGAAGGTAAGCACTTACGGTCGGAGTCGGATCCCGGGTTCCACTCATGTCATCGGCATCAACGCGTTGGCTTCTTCCAGAGACCCAGAAAGCCCAATACCCCTTAAATAAGGAACATGCCTTAAATTATGAGGGGATTCATATTATGAGTTAAGCTCTATTCCTTAATTGAGGGGTATGGGGCTCTCTGGGGACCTTCCACCGAAACCCGAAACCCCAAACCCAGCCCTGGCAAAGCAGAGCTGGGTTCTTGTTATAAGTTATAAGGATTTAGTGTTCAAGTTACCATATCAAGAGACCATGATCCCTATTATGGTAACTTAAACCTAAAACCATAAACCCTTGTAGGAACCCTTATGGATCCCTTAAAGGAATGCTGATATATCCCGGTTATGGTAACTCAAATCAAATCCCTTAGCTTGGAGGTTCATGGGCAGTTATAATCTTAACAGTTAGGTTTCTATAAGGTTTAGGGTTTGGGGTTGAGGGTAGCTAGAAGCAGGGTTATAAGTAGCATAGCTATACAGTTGTCGCCCAGATGAAAGGACTTATCACCGCATGTGTGACTTCTAATGAACCTCCAAGCAACGATGCCCAAGCATCTACGGATTCAGGGCCTGGACACTGCTGACGTTCTTCTCTGCTTTCCCCAGGCTTTGACAACATTGAATCACGGAGTCGAGCACTTCAGAGGAACTCAAAAAAGTCTCCGCTGATGAATGACACAGATGTGGCGATGAACAGTTCTTGAGCCAGGAGACACTCACAAATTGGCCAAGGTGCCCCCGATGCACCCCTTAGTTGCTGAGTTCATAAGCCCCCGAAAGTGTACACTTTCAGTTTTGCAAGTGGGTATTAATACTATCCCGAAAAGAGTAAAGTTTATCCACTCAGCTACTAAGACCCCAACTCCAAACCCGGGTCCTAAACTCCAAATCTCGAACCTGCACCGGTGACTCTGAATGCCAGCGGGAAGATCGAAAACCACAGCGGGGTTTAGGGGACCCTAATATAGTACCCTAAACAGTAGGATCCGTCATGCAAGGACCCCAAAATAAGGTACCCCTAATTTTCGGAAGCCCCCGCATCCCTGAACTTCGGAACCGAGTGGCGACTGCGTGCAGCCGCGTGGTGGCCCACACCGACAGCGGTAAGCCGTAAAAGCCAGTGGGCCTGGGCTCGTATGATGCAGGGGCTTGATATTACCGTAAAGGATTGGGGCATCTTCTAGGTATGACTGGACCTAAGAGTAACCTAGAAACAGAAAGGGTGCCCTTTTTGGTGTAAAGTGGGTTCCAAGGTAACCTAAACCCTAAAAAAGGGAATATGGGCCTACTCTGGGTCCTAGATAATTTATGAGGAGCCCAACGTCTTGAGCAAGTCTCTAATTCTGCCTTTACTTTCGCTCATCAGAGTCATACGTCATGGCACAGGAGGCACAGTCACTAGTCACGAGCCCGACGGCAAAAGGAAACAAATCCCCATCCATCCCATTACCGCCGTTAGGATAAAAACTATCATAGAACGACCACAACGACCACTGCTGCTCCTAAGCCCTAAACCCTAAACCTGCTGCTGTGCTAATGCTCCCACGAGTCCCTCCTTCGGGAAACACAACTACGGCAAACCCTGAACCCTAAAATTTTAAACCCTGAACAATACGAGACTAAACTTAACACCCTGAACCACTAAACCCTAAACCGTCACGGTGTCAGTGATATCAGACTTGCGATGCCCAAGTACTTCCATGCTAGGACACCTGACCGATCAGGGCTTACAGTTTAAGGGCCCCGGGTTTAGGGGCTTATGAGTTTAGGACTTAAGGGTTTAAGGGTCTAGGGCTTAGGGTTCCGTACAAACCCACTACACGGAAATCCTGGCTTGGGGAGACACACCGATTTTGGAGCTTACAGGTAGACATAGAGTTGCAAGCATCTCAGTTTCCGGATTGTCTGAAGAAGAAATCTATAGTGCTCAACCCTAAAGCCTGAAACCGAGGAATCCCCGTCTTCTGAGGGCCCCACAACACAACGTTGCGGAGGTTTGTGCGCATGTCCTGCTGGAAGGTGCCTGCCAGAGACCCAAAGGCTCCATGTACCCAAGTGGGTACTTAGGCCTCAGAGGGGTCCCTATATAGGTATATACTTTAAAACCTAAGAACCTACTATACGGGCACATGGGCTATGCGAATCATGGCAGGACGCAGCATGAAACCGTCCTGCGAGCCCGGTTGCCCGTTACAGTTGGTCACAGCCCCTACCTCTAGTCTCCATTGTGGTTCCTTTTTGGGGGTTACCTTAGGGGATCCTAATCATATGTTTGGTTAAACGACAAACACAAACTACAATGGTGGTTGCTGTATATTCACCGCATGCCTCTGCAAAGGGAATCCATGCCCGACCGGGATGTTGCCTGCGATACCCTAAACCCAAATTGTACTGAAACACTGATGTCAAACATTGCAGAGGCTGTACCGGTGAAAACCAGACCTGGCTCCTTTCAGGCTTCTATACTGGAGCTTGATTATATTTCAGAACTGACATGGTCAGCACTCCGTAAGGCCTGACAACTGTTCCGGCAGTCCTTGCTGATCAAACATGTGACTTCTCAGCTTCGAAACTTTCAGCCCTCTTTGACCCCCAAATGAAAGCAGGCAGCGTGCCACTGCGCCGGAAAGTAAAGCAGCATTTTTTCCTTCAGCCGCCACGGCGGCGATCATAGGTTACCTACAGTCTCCATTGTAGTTCCTTTTTTCGGTTTACCCAATTTTATATTAAGAATCCTACAAGGTAACCCCAAGAAGGAACTACAATGGAGACTATAGGTTACACTGCGAATTGTGCAGCAAGGTTTGGAGAGCCGGCTCAGGCGGCTGCGAAACTGAGGACCCTGAACGTGCACCCTAATCTAGGGGCTCCAACAATTAGAATATGGTTTTGGGGCCCCCTATACTATCAATAAGTTTGTAGTAAGGAACCTCCACAATATAGTATAGGTAACTATCAAGGCCTCTATACTACCCTGACCTACCAGAACTACGTTTTATTAGGTTTTACCATGAACGCCAATGTGGAATGTAAGGGACCGCAGCCCAAATAGTAGGGTTTTGTATGCTTTTGTAATTAGCTTAGGGTTTTTAGGGTTTAGGGTTTTGTATGATTTTGTAGGTTAAGGGAAATCATATAGAAACCCCTTCCTCGCAGAGCTTGCGATGCGAAAGCCAACGCAACATGAAACCTTCAACTTACCTTTGGTTAGAAGGGAATGGAGGGATGGGGTATAATTTTAACCACTATTACTACCATTCTTCCATTCCATACCTAACCAACGGTAAGTCAACCCTAAACCGTGGCTCGCGAGCATCGCAGCGAGTTGAAAGGTTTGAACTATCGAGGACCCTTTCCTCTAGGGATCACGAGGCAGCTCTTCAAATTAGGGGACCTCAAATGCTGAGACTCAGTATTCCTAAATCCAAGAGCCCGAAATTCTCTTCTTCAATAACCGAACCTCAACTAGTTCAACTCTCTGTCTCATATATATATATATATATACATAGATATAGATATACATACATGTGTATATATATATACATATATACATATATATATATATATATATATATACATATCAGGTCAAAACATAAACCCTTGCTTCATCTGGCTCTGAAGCCGCAACCCCTCAGGCGAACTACATAAACTCATGAAGAACCTGACTAAACAGCTTCCCGTCTTGACCCTACATGAACCTTACCCTTACTTATAACTAATTGCAACTATGTCCATAAACCCCCAAAGCTCGAAACCGTGAACCAGCATTCCGCATCACGCTAAACCCCCGAAACCCTAAACCCCTAGCCAACTCCTTTGGTGCAAGCACCAATGGCTGCTCCGAAGGCTATCTCCTCGGTGTGGCGAATGCGGCACATGGGTAGTTCTCCAAATTAGGATCCCCTTTTTAAGGTCCTTGTTAAAAGGGTGCCGTGTTATACAGAGGACAAAAAGGGACCCTAAGTTAGAGAACTACCCACGTGATTGGGCAAAGCCCCAAAGCTATGCAACAACCGACATCTCACATACGCGATTGGGATTCGTACGGCTTAAGACTTACCAAAGCCCAGAACAACCAGCATTCTTACGCTTGATTCAATCGGTACAACAGTGCATTTTGGCAATTTGGGCGCGTTCGGATAGGGGTTAGGGTATTGGCTCTCAGGAGCTCGAACCCACTTGGTGGGGCCGGAGCTTATATTATAACTGAAACTCCCCGGACAAAACTGTCATTAAACCGGCTCTGATTATAAGGTGGGGAATTATGCCATGGTTGCAGATGGACAGGAACGCAACTAGGCACCTACATACATACCAAACTCCAAACTGCTACATGCCAGCGCTCTTGTTTCCTAAACCCAAGGAAGCCCGCTCAAACCCTAAACCCTAAACTCTAAACCCTGAAGCCCAAACATGGCCCGGTAGCCTCAAACAAGCAAGTAGCCCCATAATCCTGAAGCAGCCCTGAACCAGAGCTCATTGCGACATGGAATCCTGAAGGCTAAACCCGATAAACTTTAGACTTTGAACGTCTACCCGCTAAACCCTAAACCATGACGCGTCGCATTGGCACCAGCGGAGACGGCAAGCAGGCCAATCGCCCTCCGCCAGAGACCCAGCTTCCTTGGCCAGCCGACGGGGTAGAAAATACAGTAAAGCATTATAGGATTTAGGGTTTAGGGCTTAGGGGCATTATGGTTGGAGTACATCAGGTGCAGCTTCTGGGGGTTCTACTACTAGTCTCCCTGCGGAGTATACAGCACTGGCAACCCTTCTAAGCCCCTGTGGTACATTGTAAAGCTCTTCAAACATGACATTTCAGCGCAGCTTCTCGCACGAAGAGATGGCTGCACTGAAGGTGATCTCGTCTGCAATGACCTTCAAGGCGGGATTAGCCACGGATGTACCGCCATGAACTAGTCTGCCGGGCCCATCGGAACACAATGACATGCAGGTCCATGTAGCCACCCTAAACCCTGAACCCCAAACCCACAAACCCATAATAAACCCCTGCAGCTCCATCCGCAAAACCCCAAAGCCCTAAAGGCTAAACCCCAAAGCCCTATCTAACCCCTTATACACCCCCCAACGCCAAACCCCAAATCACCAGCCATGAAGCTTAGATAACCCAAAATTTCCCGAAAGCCCATAGCTACCAACGGACAAATCGAGAAGCGCAAGCCCTAAAAGGCAGCAAATGCTTCATGAGCAAGGGTAAAAGGAGGGACCCTTAATAAGGACCCCTAGGTATATAGGCTTAACAAAGCTGCTATATACCCATGATATAGCCCATTATAGGGTAGGGGTCCCCATTAAGGGTCCCTTCTTTCCCCTTTGATCATGAACCCCATGGTCTTCAATGCCCGAAACCCTACTTGGAGGGTCGGGGGACTTAGTAACTTGTTATTTTAAGGACTTATAAGTACCATAACCCAAAGTAGGGTCCCTTTTAGGGTACTTATAAATCTACTTACTACCTACTTACTAAGTCCCGCGACCCTCCAAGTAGACCCTACCCTAATGCTCCTGAGAGGGTCTTGAGGGTTTCGGCTTTGGGGGCTAGGGTTAGGGATCTCACTACAAGGGTCCATGAGCCTTAGGGTAGACTCGAGACCTTGAACCCTAAACCCAATGCTCTAAGCCTTAATCTCTAAAACGTAAACTCTAAAGCTTTTAAGCTGTGTGAGGGCGACTCTCGGCTTCGGCTTGACGGACGAGGCTGTAAAGATCTTCTACCCTTCCTTACCCTAAGGCTCTAAGAACTCATATCTTAAGACTTTTTGGGCCTAAAGACCCTATCATAGAAGGCTTTTGGGCCATTTTGAGCCTTAGGGCTAGGGGTCGGACTCATCGGCAACATAATTTCCATACAGTCTCTGGTATGGTCATACCACTACAAAAATGAACTCCAAAATGCCGTACTGCAACTATAGGGCCCCTGCGTAAGCAGCCAACCCCTTAAGGCCCACCTGCCCAGAGAGCCCTATACCCCTTAACTAAGGAATACCTAGGGTTCCTTTACAGGGATCGTTTAAGGGATCTATAGGGTTTAGGGTTTAGGGGATTCTAATACCCCTTAACTAAGGAATATAGCTTGAATCATAATATGAATCCCCTTATAATCTAAGGTATATTCCTTAATTGAGGGGTATTGGGCTCACTGGGTCCTGCACTAAACTCTACACCCCCCGAGGCCCTCCTGCCTGCATGAAGGACATCACAACTGGCAGCTGCAAAGACATTCGCCATTGGGTGCCTCGTTTGTTTTTGGGAGTTTCGGCATATAGGGGACCGTAATAAGGCACCCCGAATGGGCCACTTTAGAGTGCCTCGATGGCAAAAGTAAACACCCTAACTTGGCACCATAAACTACCAAGGAAGTTTGAAGGGATCGGCCTGCTTGATCTTGCCGGAAAGTTGGATCAGGGCTGGACGTAAGCCCTGAACCCCCAAACCGGCAAAGACTCGGTTGGCCCGTTGGCCCCAGTCCCTGAACCCTTCAGGAAATGTAAGGGCCTGACGAACTATTTGTAATAAAGAACCCTACGGAATAGGTAAGGAAACTCCTAGCAAAGGGTTTTGTGGTACAAGATAGTGCAATTTGTATGAACTGAGCTTAAGAAACCTCCGCGGCCTTAGAGCAGCCAGAAGTTTAGGGTGTAGGGCACCTGCTTGATCCTCAAGAGGGTTATGACTCTAAGTACAGTCCGGCCTGTGGCCTTTGGGGGATATTGCAACGTACTTGCATAGGGACTATAAGAGGATATTGTTGCGACTTATTTCGACACCCATGTTATATCTTTGGCTTTCAGGTCTATGGGTCCATGACCAGAGCTGACAGGAGTCTTACCATCCTCAATGCAAGGAGCCCTTGGCGCAAACACTGATGGCCGCATTGAAGCCGATCTCGTTGGCCTTCACCCTGACACTGTGCATGCCTGGGGCTGAAGACTACCCAGAGAAGTTACATTCTCGGACAACAACAAATTAAGACATAAAAAACCTAGGAGTAAAAAGGGTGCCCTGTCTGGTTTAAAGGGGGCTATAAGGTAACCTACACCCTGAAAGAAGGGAATAAGGGCCTACTCTGGGTCCTAGTAAACCCTAAACCCCGAAAACCCCTAAATGTGTATGATTCAGAAACCCCAGTAAAGCCTCAACCCTAAACCCCAAAGCCCCTAAATGTATATGATTCAGAAAAAGAAATCGTCGTTTCCAACAGGTTCTTGGCGGTCTCTAGGTTCGAAACTTGCTGGCCAGGCCAGCCCTGGCCCAGAAGCAAACCAAAAGCTGCAAGCCCACAGTCCCTTATAGCAGCCCTTATAGCAACCCTTATAAAGGGTCTATGAGGGTTGCTTTAAGGGCTACTATAATAAGGGTTTAGTATAGGGGGGTCCTTCATAATTGCCTATAATATTGTTGTGAGGTGGTTTCCTTTGTTATAAACATGGCAAAATATCCCCCAGAACCCTATTCGAATTATTAAGGCTTTTATAATACAAACCTTACGTATTTAATCCCCAATCCAGGGTCGAAGGAGGAAGCTGTGGACATGAATGCAGGGTAGAGCTCTTACAGCAGCAGGATGTTGGATGAACCGCACCACCCCAAGCCCTTCGTAAAACCTTCCAAACCCGTAATGAACTTTTCATGAACCTTCTAAAACCCCCCATAAATCGGAATGAACCATAAGCTCCCACAAAACCCTAAACCCTAGACCCCTAAACCCCTAATCCGCTAAAGCCTGAACCCCAAACCCAAACAACCAACTAAAAGACCCCTTTGAGCCTGAGGTACTCGCCAGCAGCAGAAGTGCCTGGCTCCACTGACCTTCCCCCTCGCAGGCGCTGATGGCCGCGCTGAAGCTAATGGCATCCTCAGCAGACTTGAGGGTTCTCACACGGCTTCATAGCCCTTAAACCGTAGCCGTAAACCCTAAACCCTAGAAGTAGTAGTCTTCAGGGTTCGTATAATCAGACTGTCTACACTAGTGCCCATACTAATAGTAGTACAAATACCAATGCATTTAAATACCAATCTACCGAGGTACTAATACTTCTGTTTTATGTACTAATATACTTTTATACTACTAAGATGCACGAACTAGTAAACGAATAAATCAACACACCAATATGCTAACATTCATTGATAATATGAATGAACTGATATACGACTACTACTTGGAGGGTCGGGGGACTTAGTAACTGGTTATTTTAAGGACTTATAAGTACCATAACCCCAATTAGGGTCCCTTGTAGGGTACTTATAAGTCTACTTACTACCTACTTACTAAGTCCCTAAACCCCTAAACCCTATACTACCCTTATAGAGCCCTTTAAAGGAACCCTTAGAATCCCCTTTAAAGGAGCCCTTACTAAGTCCCCCGACCCTCCAAGTAGAAATGAAACACCAAACCGAGGCTCTGCCCGGACGGCAGCGCGAGCCATGGCTTCCAGGAGAAGAAAAGCCATCCTTAGACGCTTTCTGTCCCTCTCTCTCTCTCTATCTCTCTCTCTCTCTCTCTCTCTCTCTCTCTCTCTCTCTCTCTCTCTCTCTCTCTCTCTCTCTCTCTCTCTCTCTCTCTCTCTCCATATACATATATATGTAATCGCATATATATATATATATATATATATGCTACCCCCCCCCAGACACCAATAGATTTATGTGTTTTGTTCCCTAAACCCTGCAAATCAAGTACCCAAGGGCCTCGGAAGACATGGTGCGGCAGACTGTGGCAAACTCGACCAAGCTACTTACAAGCTGCTTCTGGAAGCGACATGCATGCATCTGCACATGTACATAACCTACACAGAAGCATGGCTGCTGCGGTGTCAGAGGTTCTTGTCCGATGCTCATGAGCTCACACCACCACATCAGGAGCAATGAGAGGAACATTGACAGATATTTTCTCGAACGAAAGCAATAAGCGACGATGCTTCGCGAGGAGAACGTATGCACACGTGTGTACGTTCGCCGTGTTTCCGGTGATGCGTGGCGTGTTTATGCGACGGCTTACGCATAAAACTTTTTGAGGGCCTCTGTACAAAGCTCGCCGCTCGCCAGCCACAGATCGGAATTCTTAAACCAGTAGTCGTATTGTGCTGACCGCAGTTTCGCGCGCAAGAGACTGGAACCTGCCTTGACATTTTGGTTGATGGCGATGCGGTCCTTCAAAAACCTCCAGGCTCGGTCAATGATTTGAGTGCCTGATTTGACCTTCAATTTCTTGTTGCTGCCTGGCACTTTGTGGGTTACCATGGTGACATACTTCGGGCTTGTCCACTGGTACTTGCCGTTGATTTTGACGCGCTTCTTGCAGTGAACGACTCTGTCATGGATAGCTTTTTGCCGAATCGGTATGGAGAAAAACTTTGCGGTCGCGAAGTTTCTCTTGAGCGAAGCTCTTCCACTCGATCTTCCGGATTGCTCCTGGGCCCGGTGCTCTCGTGGGTGTGAGCTTGGGGTTCAGCTTGCGGAGGATGAGTTTGCGAGGCTGGCCGCGCTGTACGATTCCAGCCCATTGCTCCCATATGCTCCCATAGAATGGTGTTGTTCGGCTTGGAGATCAGGTGCTTGAGATCAGGGTCCTTTGAAATGTCGCGCTTGTCAAAAGTAGCCTCGTCGGCTTCAACATCAACCCAAGTGCGTTTGTTCCCGAAAACAATATTTTTCTCCTCCTTCTCGACGAAGTCTTTGCACAATCTACAAAGCTTCTTCTCCTTATTGGCAGGCTAAAAACAAACTCTATCATGCCATGTGCTGAATTGAACAAAACAACTAGAAATATGTAGATACTAAGCAAGCACCAGCTTCCATGTATTCGATGGCTTTGTGGTTGATGTCCAACACAAGATGGATTGTAGACTGTGGCACCTTGTGAAGCATTAGGAGGAGCATGGCGGACTGCATCTGCAGACTTTGTTTCTGCGGGCCCATGCATTCCGAGAAGAGCGGGTGAAGATGATAGGGTGTGATGGCGGCTGTGCACTTGTAGTTGTTGCAACGATGCTTCAAGTGATGAGGGCCACCTGTATGGAGCTTGGACAAGGCTCCACTTGAACATCTGGGGCACAACTTTGCTGAAAGATCCATCAGAAGCTTGTCCGCCAGCAGCATTTTGATGATGTCATGGTCGTTGGCCTTCAGAAGCTGAGGCAAGGTGCGTTTCCATTTGACTTGATCTTTGCGTTGACGCCGAGATCCCACAGTGACGTTGCCGCACACGTACTTGACGGACTTCCACGAAGATGACTTTGTAGCCGCCGGTCGATTCTGGACCTTGCGCAGCTTGCCTTTTTTAGCGACCATGTTGTTATTGGGCTTCTTCCCCATGGGAGCAGAACCAGCAAGCAAGTCTAGGACCTTTCACTTGAACTCAAAATCTTCGCTGCATGTAATGCAACATGAGACATGTGATATGCTTTGGCACTGCCGGTTGCGGACACTACGCGAGTGCAAAAAATCTAACTTTTTGGTTCGGAAAGCAAGATTTGGAACATCCAAGGCTACGCGCTAGAGATCACGATGGGCCGTAACATGGGCCGTAACTGTGTTAGGCTTCGTATGTCAAGGCCAAAGACATCAAAAATTGAGGGCCTACTCAGTGGTGCTTGCAGAATCAGGCATCGTCCATGAATGCCTCCAAGTTCTGTGAGCGATTTTCCATGGGATCGACGACGTCCATTGCTTCACCGGGGCTGCTGTGCACAGGCGAAGATTTTGGAAATGGCGGCCTTGGGCTCGGAGGCAGGCTCGTAGATGCTGTGGCTGCCTTTGGCGGTGACTTGGGCGAAGATGGCGGGGTGGGATCCGAAAGCGACATGTGCATAGTGCGACCCTTCAAAGATGTCTTGAAAGCCGTAAACTTCGCTTTGACCTCCAGCGGCTCTTGCTTGATCGTAACCTTTGAAGGATATGAGGAATACAATTTTAAAACATTCAGATTTAGACGTAGATGTTTGGCGATTGCTAAAATAGCTATATCTTATGCAATAACAACCAGACCCAGTAATCATGAGACTAAACCAGCATGTCCCCCTGTATGAACTTACTGTGAAATGGAAAACAAATGTAAAGCAACAAAAAACACGCCTACAACCAAGTAACCGGGGCATGGGCACGTGCAGAAGATGTAGCCTCCTCAGTATCCTCTTTTTTCTCCTGGTTTCCGTCATCCTCTTTGATGTTCTCTCCTTTGTCTTCGGGCTTAGGGACAAAATTGCTGATGAGTGCACTCGATGATTTCACGGAGCGGAACCGCTTCTTGGCTGGCTCATTTGGTTGCGCGAGCTTGTCCCGATAGAAGGTTGAGTCCACAAAGATTCCTGCAAGCGTGGGTCGCTTTTCAATGACATACTTTTCGCCATCGAAATTTTTGCCAAAGATAGTAGAACACCGTGGCAGAGCTTCTCCGTCAAGTGCGGCTTGCAAGAAGTTGAGTGACCATTGTACCTTCTGAGCATGTTCAGGAACATTGCCTGCGGAGCCTCCGTGCTTGTAGGTCTGAAAAAGGGGTCTGGCACAAGGTGATACCATACCGCAGTCTCGCTCTGGCCAAGCGTGTCGTGGAACTGGATCGCGTGATGTCCCGGGGGTGCGGATGTAGATGCCGATCTCGGTAAACACAACGATACAGGAACGCTTGAAGACGGCAAGCAAATCCTCCTCATCAAAATCACGATGAAACGAGGGACGCATGAGCTTGTAGAAATCATCGAAGCAAACTGTGTCTGAGGCAATTCCAGGTCGCATTTTTGACTCTCCTGTCCGATCGTAGGGATTGGAGCAAGCTTGGCAAAGCTGATTTTTGGCGTAGGAGGACGCATTATTGTAGCGCGCCATAGTCTTGCGATCAATACCCGAAACCTCTGTGATAGCCTTGACAGCCGCTGGTGTTCCCAGGTAGAAGTTGCCATCATCAAAGACACGAGGCTTGCTGCGACGACCACGCTCCTTACGGAAATAGTCCAAGGAGCTGGCTGTCTGAAAGCAAGGGAGCTCGTCAGTACGACCTTCCTGCTGGAGCCAGAATGCAGACATCAAGTGAGAAAGCGTGTATGAGGCTGGACTCTTCCCTACTTCCGATTTGCCAATCCAAATGACCGCATGCTCAATCAAGTACGGCAGAAGTGGGGCAATCACGGTGTTGAGAGCCCACGGAGTGAAGTCTGCCAGGGTTAAGGGCCAGTCCGATATTGTGTCGGCCTGCGAGCCCTTGTCTGCCTGGCAGCGAAGGAATTCTTTGATGGTGCCGCGATCCCATTTGTAAAGAATGCTATCCGGATTATTGACCTGCTCCTCCGTCCAAGAAGTGAACTGACCGTCCGAATTTTCTTGGGGGCCATGCTCTTTCAGGAACTGGAAACCCTTGCGAATGTCCTCGGTCTCCTTGGGTACCTTGTTGCTTGCATTGAGGGGGCCGAGCTTTTGATAACGAACTTGGAAACCGCCTAAGCCTTCCAGCATATACTGCAAAGCTCTGGTGCCGTCTCGGAAGTTTTTCCGGTAGTCGATTTCCACAAGCCTGCCAGTGCACATGCTTATGATGGTGCTCGCAAGGATTTTGGTGCCCTCCGCGAAACGAACGTGCTTCACAATGTTCCACGTCTTGTCCTCGGACTGTAACATGAAAACCTGCATAGTGTGCGGGGTGAGGTTGTTGCCCTGCATCTTGAGAGGCTCTGGTAGATCTTGATATCTCTGCTGCAAAAACAACGTCTCGATGTGTTTCAAGTCAAAGTCGCCTTTGTGGTTCAGGATGACATCTACAAACTGAATCTTCTTTTTCAAGGAGTCGACGATTTCATCTCTGGCTGGCGAGTCTCCTATTTTGACTGAACCCACGGGCTTGTGTACTATCATTGGCTTTTCAAGGAAAATCACTTTCAAGCCTTCGGTATTCGAGATGGCTTCTTCGAATGTGATCGCTCCGTCGAGTGTGTCCTCATGAAGCGATTGTGCGAGGGAAATGGGCCGCTGAAGGAGTGCGGACGCCATGAGGGAGCAGCGAAGCGAGATTTGAAAGGCAGCTACAGAGCAGAACACTGGATGCCTGCATCGAAATATTTTGCGTTAGCGGTCACCATAATGTTCAACAACAATAGCAACAACTTGTCCATGGCGGCTATGACTTATGAGCATCACAAAGCATGCGCAGAAGCAATCTTCACCTTTTGCAGTTCACGTCATCTGCTGTCTTCGTCGAGTCGCAGAGCAAACCTCTGCGTTCTGTTGTGATCTTTGAAATCTCTTAGAGATACAAAAGGAACAGCAGAGAGTCTCTTGGAGACTTCTACTGCTCGGTGCTCAGTCGCCAGATGCGAAACTCATCCCAGCGAAGGTAGTGCTCGCGCCCGTTGCAACACACAAACAAGATGTGCTTGTGCCGGTAGATCTCCATATCTGCGCGTGGGATGGATGGAAAACAAAGAGCAAAGGCTTTATTAACACAAAGCTTACTTAATTTGCGTAAGTCCTGCCTGACGAAAGAACGCCAATCAGCCTGGGGAACTCCGTGGGTGCACTAGGCACACTTAAGCTGTCTTGGTGGCGAGGGTCAGCGTATGCGGTGATATCCTCCCAGATTTCCAACGGAAGCTTGCTACCAAAAGCCTTCTGTAGAGACCACGTCCACGCCATGGGGGGAAGTACGTGAGTGCGCGAGGCGAACTGAGCCACTGGACAGCATACCACATCATGGTTGTCAGTTGGCAACGCATACCGAGTCCACGACCACGTCAGCTTGGACTTCTTTTACTCGCACATCCCAACTTCGGTATCTGTCTATGCCTGAACTGTCAGCATTTGAGCTGTCTTTCTCCACAGGTTCTGACCTTGGCATCATTGGTATTTTTGGGACAGTACAGTGTTTTCGTGAAATTTATTGCAAAAGTGCTGTACTGTCCCAAAAAACCCAATCCTTTTTTGCAAAACTGCTGTACTGTCCCAAAAAAACCAAAAAACAATCTTTTACAGTCTTGAAGTAGCTGCCGTGTAAGGGCCTCCAATAGATTGGTTTGTTTGGGACAGTACAGCACTTTTGCAAAAAAAATTGGTTTTTTGGGACAGTACATTGTTTTCGTGAAATTTATTGCAAAAGTGCTGTGCTGTCTCAAAAAACTAATCTTTTTTTTGCAAAAGTGCTGTGCTGTCCCAAAAAAACAAAAACAATCTTTTGAGGTCCTGGTGTATCGTGGTGCAAGGTTTCCACTAGATTGGTTTTTTTGGACAGCACAGCATTTTTGCAAAAAAAGATTGGTTTTTTTGGGACAGTCCAGCGTTTTTACTGTTTTTTTTTGTAAAAGTGCTGTACTGTTCCAAAAAAAACAATCTTTTTTTGCAAAAGTGCTGTACTGTCCCAAAAAAACAATCTATTGGAGGCCCTTGCACGGTAGCTGCTTCAAGACTGTAAAAGATTGTTTTTTTGTTTTTTTGGGACAGTACAGCGCTTTTGCAAAAAACGATTGTGTTTTTTTGGACAGTCCAGCGTTTTTGCTACTTTTTTGCAAAAGTGCTGTACTGTCCCCAAAAAAACCATCTTTGTTTGCAAAAGTGCTGTACTGTCCCAAAAAAAACCAATCTATTGGAAGCCGTTACACGGTAGCTGCTTCAAGACTGTAAAAGATTGTTTTTTTTGTTTTTTTTGGACAGTACAGCACTTTTGCTAAAAAAGATTGGTTTTTTGGGACAGTCCAGCGTTTTTGCTAGTTTTAGTGGACGAGAGTGACGCGGAAGAAATACTCATGATGCTGTAATTTGTGCTCATGATGGTAAGTTCGCTTGGAAAGGTATGGCGCGTAGCGAATGTTCATGATGCTGACGTTCATGCTCATGATGCTACGAAAAGTGCACACTTTAGCGGCTCACTGAACCCTACACCCTCGACCCCCTGGGAAGAGCAGGGCCAACGAGTTGTTCTTGAGGAGGCGTACCTGACAGAATTCAGAAAAGTATTGGTAACTGGGGGGGGGGGGTACCATATATATATATATATGTATGAATAAGTATGTATATATATATATATATATATACATACTTTAACTTTTTTGTGGGGGCCCCAGTTGCCTCGGCTTGTTAAAGTGTAGGGTTTAGGGTGGTGACTCAAAGGATCAGGAGACTTAGCTGAGCATAGCCTCACCAGAACCCTAAACCCTAAACCAGAAACTTATTTGCTAAGCCCCCTGATGCTTTGAGTACGCTCTGTACGAGGATGGGAATTGTTGGGAATCTAACTCTTGATAAGGTTTGAGGTTTCGGAAGTGGGGTGCCGCGAATTCTCAGTAAACCCATTACGAGCGAGGGGCTTTGTTTAACAACAGTTCCAGAAGACCTCTGCAAGGTGAAGTAGCCAACAACCCCATGAACAGAAGGGCAGCGTTTGCTACTCAGTCTTAACGCGAAACACGGCGAGCCGAAATTAACAGGTATAAGGGAATATATAGTGGCCTCAGTAGTTAGCATAGGTAGTAGGGTGGTTTCACATTGAACACTATCAAGCAATCGTTCCTCGCCCCGCACAGGTTGTATTTCTCGGAGCCAGAGGTTCTGCCACTGCCCCGCAGTGGCACAGGCGCTGATGGCCGCGTTGAAGCAGATATCATCGAGAGGCAGACGAGCCCAAGAAGCCACCAAGAGCTGCAAAGCCGTGCGCCACTGACCCTTTTTTGCACATGCGCTCATGGCTGCACATGTGCTGATCGCATCCGGGAGCACGGCAAACCTTCAGGGGACAGTGTGAAACAATTCTGAAGTTCTCAGAGGGCCCGAATGTAAGACAGCCCTGAATTGAAGAACATACTTTAGTAGATCATAAAAGACTGTCTCTCGATTCGCCCCCGTCGACCTCGAGAATGTCTGCAGAACTTGTAAAGCCACCTGCCACTGGCCACCTTGGTACTTCGTCAAGAGCCCCTTGCAAAACACCTATGAAAACACAAACACTAAACCCGAAACCTCTTCGCCGTAAAACCGAATAACTTATACAGATTAGAACCTCTAACACCGCATAAAGCCCCATATAACCGGGAACCAAAGCCCTAATGAGGGGCCGCGACTAATTCAGCCAGAGCCGCATTTCTCGCAGGCGTTGAGAGCTGCATTAATGCAAATGCCGTTCACCCGAACCTTGTCACAGTGTAGGATTTAGGGTCGTTTCGCGGCGTTTCATCTGGGGCATGTTAGGGTGTCGAATGTTATGGTGAATATGTGTATATATATATATATATGTATATAACAAGTTCCCCAAGCAAAGATGAAACATGCTTCGATGCTGTACAATACTCTAAAAATTGTTCGCAACAATTGAAAATCGTTTGCAAACAGTTCAGGGGCCTTGTTAACCCCTCCCACAAATCCAAGGGTAAAAGGAGGGACCCTTAATAAGGACCCCTAAATATATAACCTTAATATGGCTGTTATATACCCATTTTATAGCCCATTATAAGATAGGGGTCCCCGTTACGGGTCACTCCTTCTCCCCTTTGAACAAACCTTCAAAGACCTAAGCCCTCTGTCAACCCTGTAAACCCTCAGATGTCCTCAAACCCTACTTATAAACCCCCCCAGCGCCAACAGCTATACACCCAACACGCCTTCAAGACAGATCCTTTACAGAATCTGGTTTGCAACCTTTAAAGGAACCCTTGGACAAGACCACAAACAAGTCCCGCAGCAATAAGAAACACGCACACATCTACTCCTAGCAGTATCCTTCCGCCTGTTCCCTCTCCATCGCTTCCAGGATCTCCAGTGCCTGCCGCCACCTCAGTCTGAAGCAGAAGCCAGGGAGTTGGAGCATCACTCTCCTCATGCCTTTAAGCCCAAGGCGAAAGGGATTATTCGTCCTAGCCGCATGTTTTACAAGCCGTCAAGCTGGCAAAGGAAACCCCAGCAACCAATCATCCTAACTTCCAACTTTCTGGGGTTCACTATACGAGTGCTCTTCCAGGTATAGATGATACAAGCCTTATACGGATTGGGATTCAGGGTTTCGGGTTGCCGTTCAGGGTCGAGGGATAAAGGTTTGGGGTTTATGATTTTCGATGGCAGGTACCCCTGTCGCCCCTATGTCCCAGAAAATCTGTACTTAAAACTTTCGCCGGGTAATCCATGATCATATATAGAGTATGGTTTATATTACTAGTATCCCCATAATAAATCCCAATACATACACTGACCAAAATTCAACTGGAGCCCTATCTACACTCACCAAAATGGTAATATAAGCCCTACTTCATATACAGAAAGCCACCCCCAATCGTCTCGGGGTTGGCCCGACATCTCGCGTCTGGCGACTGTCTCCACTTGCAAAACCCTTGCTTTAACCCTGTTAGAACTCCTCCAATCCAAGGGTAAAAGGAGGGACCCTTAATAAGGACCCCTAGGTATATACCCTTAATACAGCTACTATGTACCCATATTATACAGCCCATTATAGGGTAGGGGTCCCCATTAAGGGTCCCTCCTTTTCCCCTTTGATCCATAACAACCCTTATGCTTCTTTTCAGAGTCTCGCGCCTTCAAGAAAGAACACCCTAGACCCCACACCCTTCACACTAAACCTCTGAACCCCCTTCACCCCAAACCCCTAAACCCTTCACCCTAAACTTTCAAACCCTGCACCCCGAAAGCCTTCACCCTGAACACCTAAACCCCAAACTTGCACCCTGAACGTCTAAAACCCACGAATGAACCCTTAACCCTAAACCCCGATACCTCTAAACCAAGCCCTCCACCCTTGATCTCCACCCTTGAACCCCTACAATATACCCTCCTTAGAACCATAATAACAATCATATTTTGAAATTCTCTTGGGTTTATCTGAACAAAGTTAAAAACGTAAGGAGACTAAAACTATATTCTACCCTATAATATACCCTATAACTCCTTCAAAACAAAATCCCACGAAACCCTCAGGCCGTCACACAGCGCCCCGCGCGCAAGCACTGATGGCAGTGCTGAAGCTGATCCTTGAGAGGCTGCCCCCACCCTGTAATAGT